GTATAAACCAGTCCACGTGTTCAACAGTTTAGTACCAGCTATACGGTATAAACCAGTCCACGTGTTCAACAGTTTAGTACCAGCTATACAGAATAAACCAGTCCACCTGTTCAACAGTTTAGTACCAGCTATAAAGTATAAACCAGTCCACGTGTTCAACAGTTTAGTACCAGCTATACAATATAAACCAGTCCACGTGTTCAATAGTTCAGTTCCAGCTATACGGTATAAACCAGTCCACGTGTTCAACAGTTTAGTACCAGCTATATGGTATAAACCAGTCCACGTCTTGAAACTTCTATAGTGCTTGGTTTAGTTGATATATTTCTTTAGTAACAGACTAAGCTGGTTTGAACTGGTCTATTTGTTCAAATTGTTCTTTAATACCAGACCTAGTTGATTTAAAGAAAATATCAACAATGGATATGATTATTATTGTTCTGGATACTTGAAACGTGAAAGTTTCATCTTTTTTTTTTATTGACGCAATTTAAACTAGCTTTTGTGTTTACATCTAAGGTATAAATTATGTTATTGATGTAATTTAAACTAGCTTTTGTGTTTACATCTAAGGTATAAATTATGTTATCGATGTAATTTAAACTAACTTTTGTGTTTACATCTAAGGTATAAATTATGTTATCGATGTAATTTAAACTGTAACTTTTGTCTTTACATCCGAGGTATAAATTATGTTATTGATGTAATTTAAACTGTAACTTATGTGTTTACATCTAAGGTATAACTTATGTTATTGACGTAATTTAAAACTGTAACTTTTGTCTTTACATCTAAGGTATAAATTATGTTATCGATGTAATTTAAACTAACTTTTGTGTTTACATCCGAGGTATAAATTATGTTATCGATGTAATTTAAACTAACTTTTGTGTTTACATCTATGGTATAAATTATGTTATTGACGTAATTTAAACTAACTTTTGTCTTTACATCTAAGGTATAAATTATGTTATCAATGTAATTTAAACTAACTTTTGTGTTTACATCTAAGGTATAAATTATGTTATTGATGTAATTTAAACTAACTTTTGTGTTTACACCTAAGGTATAAATTATGTTATTGACGTAATTTAAACTAACTTTTGTCTTTACATCTAAGGTATAAATTGTTATTGATGTAATTTAAACTAACTTTTGTGTTTACATCTAAGGTATAAATTATGTTATCGACGTAATTTAAACTAACTTTTGTGTTTACATCTAAGGTATAAATTATGTTATCAATGTAATTTAAACTAGCTTTTGTGTTTACATCTATGATATAAATTATGTGTACAAAAACTACTTTTAGCACTTGAAGATTCTATTGTGTAATGAAACTCGTATCGTTTCTTCGTCTACCCCTTTCCTTGATGTGATGAAACTCATATCCTTCACTTGTCTACATCTTTGATGTTATGAAACTCCTATGTTTTAGCTTGTCTACATCTTTCTGTGTTTACATCTTCGATGTAATGAAACTCCTATGTTGTAGCTTATCTCCATCTTTCTGTATTTACATTGCCATCAAATTATCCGCTAATCTTTAGCTTCTGTGTATTGATACTTTTAGCACTTACATCTTTGGTATATTTAAGTAACTTTTGTCATATATTTAGAATGCTGAGATTCTGGAAAGCTTAAATGAGTCGGGAGAACTACGTCAGGTGCTTCGCCCCTACAAGGTATGGTTAATGATATTCACCACAGTTTTCTAGATAAATGTATAGTTGAGATGAGTTTTTGATGTGATTTTATACTAAAATGGCATGTTTCTTACAGCTGGTCGGAAGAATGTTTTTTCAGTTGAGCTTGGTTGTATGAGAATCTGTTCTTTATAAGAAAAACTATACCGTATAATAAGTTTATTTGATCGTATAACTTATTACATGGTGTTACTATACATTAAATGGTACTGCCCACTAATAAAGAGGTCTGTTTGTACATTGATACATGTCTTGTATGTTCTATTACACATGAAACAACAATTATGATGGGACTAAACCGTATATCATAATAATTTGCAGCAAATTCTGAACTCCCACATTTTGTTACTTTTTACAAAGAAACACTCCAAAGTTTTCTATCTTCAGTTTAAAACACTAAGTCTAAACTTTCAGGTTTTCTAAACACTGAATGTGTTAATTTTATAATCAATTTTTGATTACAGTTAAATAGAATGTACTCATGCTGTTATGTCTAATCATTCTGTTATTTACTGAAAACAAACAAACACTTAATTGGTATGAAATATAAAAATGACACCAGTCAGTACCTACATTTTGTTTTGAATATTAGAAGCGGAGGATTCAATCTTAATGTTTAAAAATCTTTTACATGTATATCAAAATTAAATATGGTTTGTGCCTTTACGTTTATTTATATATATGCATGTGTATAATAAAAAAATCTTTTACATGTATATCAAAATTAAATATGGTTTGTGCCTTTACGTTTATTTATTTATATGGATGTGTATATTTGTAGCGCTCGTCTTTCGGGGGAGTATGCCAACAATGTGGTGGATTTCGCTACCTCCCATGTTCCCTCTGTGGGGGGAGCAAGAAGTCAGCCAATCACAGGCACCACTTCAACATTGGTTATGTAGCTCTTCGATGCATGAACTGTGATGAAAGTGGACTCATCCGATGTGACAAGTGTCTCCATGGTGATGGATGAAGCTCATCTTTGGATGTTGAATGAAATCAACACTGAAAGGAAGAAAATCTGATGCAAGCCTTCAGACAAACCTAACAAATTTTAGCTCACTCTAGATGACTGATGTTGTAACCACATGTACTCATGTGAATTTGCCATTTTTACTCTTGAAGATCGAAGTTGAATGATTTAATTTTTAGGAAATGTGCACATAATGTACAGAAATGTTGTCTCTTCAGAACATCCTGTCTTTTATGTGGATGATGCAAGAACATTACAGAAGAAATTCATTTAAAAAAATGTTGAATGACTGGCTAAACCATGACAGAAACTTTATTATAAACATATCTTTAACATAAACACTGATGTGTTGTGGAAAATAACAGTAAAAAAAAATTTGCCTAAATTTACAACTTACTGTATCAATATAATATAGAATAATGTAATATTTTACAAGTGACCTGGTGTAAAAAAAACAACAACATTAATGATAGCAAGTTTGGTTCTGTTGCTATACCATGACTTTAAAAACTTCCAATTAGAGTTGTTCTGCCTGAACAGTTATCTTAACATTTTCAAAAGCTGTATTCTTCCTAGGAAAGGAAGCATGGTTAGATTAAGCAGAGGATGTCTTCCTCTATGTGGAGACAATGTGTATTTTAATAAAAGTGTTTTTCAAATAAATCAGTCAAGACAAAGTTTTTCTAATTACTGTAGTATTGTACATAGTCTTGATATTAACAAAAATAGTTTATAAAGTTTTATTTACAAAACACCAACTGGTCCTGTCTTAAACTAACAATGTGATCTTGGCTAACAACTAGGTGGATAATGACTCCACAGATCCATGGTTTTGCATGCTAACAACTGGGTAAATGATGAACCGACAGATTCACAGTTTCGGCATGCTAACAAATGGGTAAATGATGAACCCACAGATTCACAGTTTTGGCATGCTAACAATTGGGTAAATGATGAACCCACAGATTCACAGTTTTGGCATGTTAACAATTGGGTGAATGATGAACCCACAGATTCACAGTTTTGGCATGCTAACAATTGGGTAAATGATGGACCCACAGATTCACAGTTTTGGCATGTTAACAACTAAGTAAATGATGAACCCACAGATTCACAGTTTTGGCATGCTAACAAATGGGTAAATGATGAACCCACAGATTCACAGTTTTGGCATGCTAACAAATGGGTAAATGATGAACCCACAGATTCACAGTTTTGGCATGCTAACAACTAAGTAAATGATGGACCCACAGATTCACAGTTTTGGCATGTTAACAACTAAGTAAATGATGAACCCACAGATTCACAGTTTTGGCGTGCTAACCAATGGGTAAATGATAATACCCATTGATTGATAGTTTAGCTAACAATGGGCCAAACACTATATATAGTGGAATGAACACTATATATGAAATGTACAGTTACAAAGTGTGGAAATAAATCCATAAGTACCTGAACGGAATGGACATTTATTACTGATCTAGGATACAAAGAACAGCGATAAACAAATTAATGGCTATCTGAGGTTGAAAACAATCAATCAAGTTAGATTATCATCACTAATTTACTGTTTATTATAAATATTGAGGCTTTATTACAAACTTTAATAATGCTGGAAATTGACATCTCTCCTCAAAGTTATTATACTCATTTGGGAGATAACAGTTTTTATATTTATATCTTTTGGTGTTTTTAGAGGTACTTTAAATGAAAAACATATTCAAAATGTTACTTACAAAGGTATGTAAACAGCTTGGTATTTTTGATTTAAAAACTTCATTAAACAGCAGCAATGCTGGATACAAGACAAGTTAGGTTTTAGTGAAGAGTTTAGTATGACATGTAACAAAGTATCTGCTACAGTAATGGTACAGAACCAGATATGATTCAGCAGTGTTTAGTATGACATCTGACAAAGTATCTGCTACAGTAATGGTACAGAACCAGATATGATTCAACAGTGTTTAGTATGACATGTAACAAAGTATCTGCTACAGTAATGGTACAAAACCAGATATGATTCAGCAGTGTTTAGTATGACATGTGACAAAGTATCTGCTACAGTAATGGTACAAAACCATATATGATTCAACAGTGCTTAGTATGACACGTGACAAAGTATCTGCTACAGTAATGGTACAAAACCAGATATGATTCGGCAGTGTTTAGTATGACATGTAACAAAGTATCTGCTACAGTAATGGTACAAAACCAGATATGATTCAGCAGTGTTTAGTATGACATGTAACAAAGTATCTGCTACAGTAATGGTACAGAAACAGATATGATTCGGCAGTGTTTAGTATGACACGTGACAAAGTATCTGCTACAGTAATGGTACAGAACCAGATATGATTCAGCAGTGTTTAGTATGACATGTGACAAAGTATCTGCTACAGTAATGGTACAGAACCAGATATGATTCAGCAGTGTTTAGTATGACATGTGACAAAGTATCTGCTACAGTAATGGTACAGAACCAGATATGATTCAGCAGTATTTAGTATGACATGTAACAAAGTATCTGCTACAGTAATGGTACAGAACCAGATATGATTCAGCAGTGTTTAGTATGACATGTGACAAAGTATCTGCTACAGTAATGGTACAGAACCAGATATGATTCAACAGTGTTTAGTATGACACGTGACAAAGTATCTGCTACATTAATGGTACAGAACCAGATATGATTCAGCAGTGTTTAGTATGACACGTGACAAAGTATCTGCTACATTAATGGTACAGAACCAGATATGATTCAGCAGTGTTTAGTATGACATGTAATGAAATATCTGGTACAGTAATGGCTAAAATACTTGATATAAACTTTCAAGTGAAATGACAGCCAATACTGGGTGAAAACACTAGAATTTAAAGATATTGAGATAAAAGAACAAAGCTGTAGACAGTAAATTTATTTGTTTCTATAAGTAAACCATTCTGTACAGAAAAAACAACATCCTGAACTAGAGGTCAGTTGACCTTACAGAAGCACTGGCACTGATTATCACTGGAAGCCTTTAGGTCAGCAAAGTGACCTCATACCACAATTTGGGAGGGGGAGCAACCAATGTACAAGTTGCTTTTATTCAGTCACTCTGTTGCTTAAATACTGCTCCTCCTGCACAAATGATTAGAACACTGAAAATCAGTAACTGTTTTTTACATCAGTAAGGTCAATACTCCCTCCATTGGCCATGACAAAAACACCTAATCAAGGGATTTCAACCATTCAACAAGTTCATCTAACAGCACTGGCCCTGTTAAAAAGTAATTCAGTAAGCTCAAGCAGCCACATTTGTATTAATAATCTTAAAACAAAGAACAAGTTAAAAACAGTTGCAGTGAAAATTTAAGCATGATACAACAATAGTTTTAGTTTAGTACATATACTATAAATATCAAAATGATAAAACACTAAAGTAATTAATACAATCTTTCAATACAGACATTACAAACATACAAGTGTTAACAGAACAGTTAATAATCTTAGGTTTTTGGCTAAAAAATAAAGACCCCTAAAAAGAACATAACACAGAAGCTAATGATATTAGTTTTTTGTAAATATTTTACAAATAAACATGAAACACAAAGGTTAATATTCTTAGCTTATTTTGATACAGACACTACAAACAAACATGACAACACAAAGGTTAACAATCTTAGTTTTTAGTACAGTAGCTACAAACAAACATGACAACACAAAGGTTAAAATTTTAGTTTTTAGTACAGTAGCTACAAACAAACATGACAACACAAAGGTTAAAATTTTAGTTTTTAGTACAGTAGCTACAAACAAACATGAAACACAAAGGTTAACAATCTTAGTTTTTAGTACAGTAGCTACAAACAAACATGAAACACAAAGGTTAACAAGTTTAGTTTTTAGTACAGTAGCTACAAACAAACATGAAACACAAAGGTTAACAATTTCAGTTTTTTAGTACAGTAACTATGAAAACATGAAACACAAAGGTTAATAATCTTAGTTTTTCATTTGTAAAAGCACTACAAAAAAAGATGACAATATTAAACACCATTAATTGTTTCGTATAATTTTTGCTGGTTAAACTTACATGCACCATCCTCATCATAGTTTGATAGATCAGGACGAATAAGGCGACTAAATTCTAAGATGTTACACCATTGGTCCTTGTTGATAACTTTATACTTAGATTGCTGTAAAAATAGAAATTATGACAAACTATAAGTAAAGATGTCTGATCTTCCAGTGATGCAAGTATTAAACCATACAATATATATCATTAGAACATGGAAGGTCTAAACTTGACATGTGTACATATCTGATCTCTAGTTTATATAACTAGAATAGGGGAACCCTATTTTATATCATCCATCAGATGGAACTAAAGGAGTATATTTGGTACTGTCCAAGAGATGAAACTACAGGAGTATATTTGGTATTGTCCAACAAATGGAACTAAAGGAGTATATTTGGTATTGTGCAACAGATGGAACTAAAGAAGTATATTTGGTATTGTCCAACAGATGGAACTAAAGGAGTATATTTGGTATTGTCCATACTCCTTTAGTTCCATCTGTTATTTGGTATTGTCCAACAGATGGAATAGTGTTCATATTATTATTGCTAGCTAAAGCTTTTCACAACATTTTTCAGAATATTTTGGGATTCTTCAGTAAAGTTGTCGAACACTTGTACAAATCCTTACTCATCTTATTATAATATTTTACAAAGCTAATATCTTTAACTTAGCTTCAGTTTCTTAGTTTTTGAAATAATATATTATGAGATATTTAGTTTGCAACTTCATTAAGGATATCACAGATATATTATGCTTGACATGTTATTACATATCCTTCTTTTTTTCACTCATAAATTCTTATCTGTATGAATTTAGGATAAAGACCAAAGAAGTATGGATATGGAGACAGCCAGACAAATGCTTCAACTCCTGTTAGGTAAAAATTGGCCTTTGTACAGCTTGTTCCAACAGTTTCTTGAGGTGAGAATTGTTACTTGTTTGTGTCAACTTTTACAATACCAAATATGCTCTCTTAGCTCTATATGTATCACAATCACAACAGCTAACATGAACAGAGATCCAAAGAAAAAAAAAAAGAGAGAGGGCACCAGTAATACCATTATTTTTTGTTTTTCATGTATATTCTTTATTATTATAAAAGAAACTGAAATGTAAAAATTAGAAACTTGTTAGGTTACATACAGTTAGATTACGTAAGTTAATGGTACACAATAACAATAACTGTTCAAAAGGTATGTTTGCTACCAACATGCACATTACATAATTCAATACAGATTTATGACTTGTGTGGTGGGATTATCAGTTAGACATGGGTTAAAGTGCAATAAAATTATAACATTTAAGTACAAACAGATTTAGAACAAAATTGTAGTTTCCTGTTACAATTTGCAGTAATTCTAGAAAGAAAAAAAGGTAATTTAGATTTACTTAGCATTTTTTATAGTGGTTATGAGGTCAATCAAACTGACCAAATGCACAGAGTTACAGTAGAGAAAATAACAGATAAAATATAAAGTTTAAAAAAAAACATTTGATATTTATTCAGGAGGCTCTATAGATTATGCAAGTGAAATTGGACAGTTTTCAGGAAGAAAAGTAATTTTAATCTCAACATGAAAATCAAAACAGTCAACACTATGACACCACATTTTCAAAAACAAATTCTTAGCAAAAATGTTAAATTAAAAAATCAGATTTTTTCTGTGTACAAAAGACTTCTAATATTTACTGAAAGCTTGCCAAATTTTGTGAAAACATACAAAACATATTAAAAGTTATAGTATAGAAACTGATGATCACTTTGGGGTTATGAAATTGGTCAAATCATCCATGCCTATAACGAGAGGGTTATCTTACTATTTCAATAAAGATATTATGACATTCTTAAAAACAGGAAAGTAGAGATACTAGTGTTTTAATTTAACTTGCTATTTCAATAAAGATATGACATTCTTAAAAACAGGAAAGTAGAGATACTAGTTGTAATTTAACTTGCTATTTCAATAAAGATATTATGACATTCTTAATAACAGGAAAGTAGAGATACTAGTGTTTTAATTTAACTTGCTATTTCAATAAAGATATTATGACATTCTTAATAACAAGAAAGTAGAGATACTAGTGTTTTAATTTAACTTGCCATTTCAATAAAAATATTATGACATTCTTAAAAACAGAAAAGTAGAGATACTAGTGGTTTATTTTAACTTACTATATCAATGACATTCTTAATAACAGAAAAAATAGGAAAGTAGAGATACTAGTGTTTTAATTTAACTTGCTATTTCAATAGATATTATGACATTCTTAACAGAAAAAATAGGAAAGTAGAGATACTATAACTTACTATATCAATAAAGCTATCATGACATTCTTAATAACAGAAAAAATAGGAAAGTAGAGATACTAGTGTTTTAATTTAACTTGCTATTTCAATAAAAATATTATGACATTCTTAATAACAGAAAAAAACAGGAAAAGTGACATTTCTAGAACAATGGATTATGATGGGCCCAATGTTAGTATAAAAAGTCAAAACTAGACTAATCCTCAGGTTTAAAGTATGAACATTTTTAATCAGAAGAGAATTAACAAGAAGAAATATTAGTTGAAATAATTTTGAAAAGAAAGAGATGTGCAGAGAAACAAAATGTTCTGTATATAAATACATTGGAGTAGTGTTTTGTAAGCAAGGTATACTTTATTTTTTTCTTTAACATTACTTTTGTTGATGGTATTAATCAGAATGTTTAATATATCTATTATTTTAAATTTTTTATCACTATCATTATTATATTTTCACTATAGAGATTATTTTGCAATGTCAACATATTATATGGACCCTGGGGTTAATTCAAACTTCATGAGATGTTTCTGGGATTATAGTTGAAAACATCACTAATGGCAAGGCACTGAAGTGTTTAAAAGCAAGATCGTAAAAACAGTATATTTAATCAGCTGTACTCGTTACTGAGTGTGATTTGTAGTTCTGATCTATGTAGGTAGCTTGCTTTGATCAGAAGTTAATATTAACAAAATATTCCATGACATTAGAAACAAATTGAAATTGTCGACTGTACGAGTAGAATATCTGATTAACTAGTTATTTAATGATCTTGGTTAAGATTTTAATATCAGTAAAAACTATCCGTATGTCTTTTTCTACCAGTTAATACTTTTTGATTTAAGCTAGAAAGCCCATACAACTTATAGAATATCTGATTAACTAGTTATTTAATGATCTTGGTTAAGATTTTAATATCAGCAAAAACTATCCTTATGTCTTTTTCTACCAGTTAATACTTTTTGATTTAAGCTAGAAAGCCCATACAACTTATTCTACAATGTTGTCTTTTAAAACTTTAAGGAACACGACTCTGTGTTAACAGAGGTCACTTTACCCTCATGAATGTGACAACAGTTGTTTCTTATAACAACATGACCACCAACCAATTATACACTGGTAATTTCTGTTACAGCATGAATGTCAGATGAAACCCCTATACATTGGTAACTCTTGTGACATTATGAATGTAAAGTTTAACCCTTTACATACTGGTAAGCTTTGTAAGAATATGAGTTCAGATTTAACCCTTTACACACTTGTAAGTTTTAGAGCAGCAGTTTTGTAGTTAAACAACAAACAGCTAAAAACATTAAATAATACTGTATAATAATCCTATGTACCCTGGCAAAATCATATGCATATCGGTAGATGCTTTTAAAACTGATTGGGTCATCTAGAAGAGATCTGAGGTAGTCCAACTTGGATTGAATTATTTGTATAGTGTCACACCTAAAAAAAAAGAGACAAGAAGAAAAAGATCTAGCATCAATAATGAGATTCCTTTAGTTTCATTAATTCTACTCACATTAATTTTAACATTAAAGAAAAACTCTTAAACAATAAAATATTCAACACCTAATAAAATAATTTGACATTTTGAACAGAACAAAATCTCTTGGGAATAACATCAACCGAGAAGAGGACTCTTATAGAGATAGATTTCACTATTGCTTACCCATGGCACATCAACGAGAAGAGGACTCTATAACAATAGATTTCACTATTGTTTACCCACGGCACATCAACCGAGAAGAGGAATCTATAGCAATAGATTTCACTATTGTTTACCCATGGCACATCAACCGAGAAGAGGACTCTATAGCAATAGATTTCACTATTGTTTACCCATGGCACATCAACCGAGAAGAGGAATCTATAGAGAAATAGATTTCACTATTGTTTACCCACGGCACATCAACCGACAAGAGGAATCTATAGCAATAGATTTCACTATTGTTTACCCATGGCACATCAACCGAGAAGAGGACTCTTATAGAGATAGATTTCACTATTGTTTACCCATGGCACATCAACCGAGAAGAGGACTCTATAACAATAGATTTCACTATTGTTTACCCATGGCACATCAACCGAGAAGAGGACTCTATAGAGAGATAGATTTCACTATTGTTTACCCATGGCACATCAACCGAGTGGAGTACTCTAGAGATATATTTCACTGTTATGTACCCATAGTTTCAAATCTGAAATAGCTAAATATTTAATGTTTGAGAACATTAAACACAAAAGAAAGATGGAAAATATTTATTATCAGTTTTTAAAGTTTTCATGCTGAATGAAGAATGAAAACCATATTCAAGAAAGACAACAAACAACTTCAGAAAAATGTGTTTTTCATTCAACCCAGAGTTTTTGCTTATGCCTTTTTTGTTCTTCTATTAGCTGATACAAAAACTGTAAAACTATTACTATTCCATTTCGTTTTTATTTAATTATTTACATTTATTATTCTAATCAGCAACTTTAATTTGTATAACAATAATTTTATTATACTTCATCACACACCATTCTATTATATTGAGTTTTATATTCATTTTGGTTATCATCATTTGAAATCAGCTTTGTAATCTGTGACACTCAAAGACTCTAAAAAAACATGTTAGACAAAACATCAGGTAACATAAGAAATATTTCTCTGAAGTTGTTTATCATTTTTCTTGAATACCATTGAAAAAACAGTTGTAAAGAAAACTGAAAATAAAACAAAAACTTTGCTCTTAGAACACTGTTCAATTTACTCAAACTTTTCCATTTTTACACAAACTCGGATTAACTGGAATTTTTCATACATTTCAGAATAAATTAAATTTCTGAACTCCAACCTTCATAATTCCTCTCCTAAATTTAGTTAAAGTCAAGAATTTTTATTCTCACTTTTAAGGTTTAGCTATATAAAATAGGTACCAAGACAAGGCTGCAGGGAAATAATGAACACATTCATGAAGCCATCAAAGGAAGTCTGTAAAAACATAAATAACTGGCACATGTAGCTATCTTGTACACAAAATTAAAATTTATAAAGTAGTTTACAATTCTTCTCTTGGAAACAGCAACAGAGGCACTAGCGTATATTTAACAACCTTGAAAATTATGGATTTAACAACACTAGGAGAAATTATCTTATTTATCTTTAACTATAAACTAGAGGAGCTAATAATACTGAGACAATAAGTGAGATTTACCTGTCTTTAACATGAAACTCGTAGAGCTAATAATACTGAGACAATAAGTGAGATTTACCTGTCTTTAACATGAAACTCGTAGAGCTAACAATACTGTGACACCAGGATGTTACGTATCTTTAACTATAAACTAGTGGAGCTAATAATACTGAGACAATTAGTGAGATTTACCTGTCTTTAACATGAAACTCGTAGAGCTAACAATACTGTGACAATAGCTACGTATCTTTAACTATAAACTAGTGGAGCTAATAATACTGAGACAATAAGTGAGATTTACCTGTCTTTAACATGAAACTCGTAGAGCTAACAATACTGTGACAATAAGTGAGATTTACCTATCTTTAACATGAAACTCGTAGAGCTAACAATACTGTGACAATAAGTGAGATTTACCTATCTTTAACAT